TATATATCTCAACACACCATCTTGCAGAGACGTGTGCCAATACCTTGCACATAACCTCAACTGTGGGTTCTGCACCAATTGACAAAAAAACCGCTTTTTCAGAGATCAGAACAGACTCCTCCAGAGTCTGTTGGGCTGCATGAACTCAATCATCTGCAACGCTTTCTTAAAAGAATATTTCTTATAGCTCACTGGGAGACATAACTGGAGAAAAGAACAATAAGAAGGTTCTCAGTCTGTTCCTCATTAGAGGTCTGCCTCTGTTCTGACAGTCATGTACAAATGGTTGTGGGTTGGTTGTTTTGTCTGAAGCACAACTACTTCATGCAAGCACTAAATATTCTGAACAAAACCACAGCAAGAGAGTAGAACATCAGCGCAATTCTCATGGATGGAAAGTAATTAAAGCCTCTCCTGCCAGGAGGATGAAAACTGCAAAGTGCTTCAAAGTCTGAAAGGGCAGGATGCTCTAGGGTACCACCCAGGTGTTAAACCTCCTTCATCAGCATAACATCCTCCATCCATGCCAACTCACCTTCAATCCAGAGGGATCTTCAGCTGCTGTCTGCTCTCTTGGACAAGAGTCTAAAGATTTGTGAAGATTATTAACAGCTTCACTTATGGCACTGCGTACAGCCCTGATTCTGTCTTCTGTCATTCTTCCTCCATACAGATTTTGCGCACCAGAGTTCACTGGAAAGATACAGTATAATGTATAAGATGCATACACACAGCCAACTTCCCAAGCAGATCTTTCACCTCCGAGATTGATCTCAGTGTCTAGAGATGCCTGGTGGGCAGTATGCAGCTCACAGTAACAGAAAAGGTTTAGTACTCTCACACATATCCACAAATCACAGATTATCTTAGAAATCGTCCTCACCAGTGTTCTCTTTAATCAAAAAAAGTCTTTCTGTACTTACTTCCAAAACTGTGGCTGTAATATTCACTGGAACCCAAAGCAGCAGCAGAGGGGTGACTCTGGGAGCCTGAAGGGGTCCTTGCTGTAGGATCCTGAAGCGGTAGCGGTGTTATCAACTTCGTACCACCTGGCCTGCCAAACGGGTTAGGCAAAGATTCCTCACGGCAGCTGCTGCTTATGCTATCCTCCCCTTCAGAAGAGAGGAATTGCAGATTGAAAAGGTTGCACAATAAACTTCAGAGCCTTCTCTTACAGCCCAGAGAAGGGCCTTTGTTTTTCCCAATAATCTGCTTGCAAAGTTTTATTAAGTGGTCACATGGATTTCACAACAGAGTAGCAGGTTACCGTATCACTCGAGCCATTGGAATTACTACCAGGCCTTACCTACTCTTAGCCTGCTCCTACGTGGCAGGCAATGCAGTTCTGCTCCAGCCTCAATGTGTGGTTTATACCAACACTGTGAACTTTGCAACTGTGATCAGATTAGTGGAAACACAAGATCAATTCCGTACACTGTTCCCAGAGGGCTTATTCCTTTTAAAAACATCTTTCTCATCAACATTTTGGTCAAAAAACCCTATCAAAATATCCAAGAAGAATAAATGGACCAAGGACTTGTGAACTTTTATCTCCTTCCTGGAAAAGTCTGTCTTGCTTAAAAACAGATATGGTATAAGACATTGGGACTGCTCATTGTGTGGTGGCCTCTGAGTTACTGCTTCCTTGCTAGAGATTTTCAGTTTCCAGAGTTATCAAGCTATCTTTTCATCAACACAATTGATATGATCATGAAATAACTGTCTTGTTGAGGTGATCATACAGGTAATTTAACAAAATGCCTTTCTTCTACAGGTGATTAATACTAGTTAATAGAATTAGGAAATCACTTTATAGGAATGGCATAATGGAAGCTGCTATCTTGTGTCTGTATCTTGTATCTGAAACATTCAGACACAGCAGCCAAAACATGCATAAGCAGCATTGTTGCACAGTGCAACAAAGAGGAAGTTAACACTTCACTGGCAAGTTCTCAAAGGGACACCTGCCACAATCATGTAGCCAAAGCTAGAAACAGAACTAGCCCTGGGTCTTAACTATGGGAGGAAACTCTCTTGGGAAGCCATCACACTTCAGGGGAAACATTTGAGTTGTTCCATTCATCCCCTCTCAGACACACACTTTGCAACTAACACTTTTCACCTTCAGTGAACCTCAACACACAAACTTTATGTAGACCACACACCATATGCAAGTTTATGCTATATTTCCTCAATATTAACAACTATAGTAAGACAAATTGCTTTGCAAACCTCTGGGGAAAAAAAGGATAAATTTAGTCCTACTTTTCAGTAGTACCTGCTGTTGAAACATTAAGAGCACTAAGTGCAGCTTCCAAATCCTGCACTTGCTTTAATAACCGTTCCCCTTTATCTGGTAGCAGCTGAATGTTCACCGTAGCCAATGTACTCTGCAAAACACAAAAGAATCCAAAACCTGACTGTGCTTACCAAGCTGTCTGCCAACAGAGAACAATCAGGTCAGAATAACAGGTACAATAAATTACCTTCTTCTGCTTCAGCTGGACTACAAGATGGTTGTGAAGAGCTTTAGGGTCCTGAGGCCCTTTCACATCATGCGATGCTGCAGCTCCTGGCAAAGCTGTCCCCTCTACACTCTTTGCTGATTTTCCTGAAGGAATCTCTCTTGACTGCAAACCCACAACTGATTTCTCAGGTTTACTTTTACTTAATGAGGAATAAAAATAATCTACATCATCACTGTCACTGCCAGAGACTTGATCAGTAGACTGTCCCAGCCCTGGCCTGATGTGTGCCTCTGCTCCTGACTTCAGGGCAGCATGTTGCAATGCCAGCTGTGGTAATGCTCCGGAAATCACATCTTCAGACATAGGTTTCATTTCTCCATTCTTCCAACTAACATATTCTTTCTCCCTGGTTTCTTTATCCCCACAGCTTTTTAAGCTTTCCTCTCCAAGCTGCTCCTCCTCTGGAGGTTTGGTGGTTGTGCTTTGCTTTCCAAGACTTAGTGGAAGAGGCTTTGATCTCCCACCTGGCTCTTTCTCCACACACTCTGAAGATCTCCTGGATTCCCTGCCACCACCATCATATTTCTCTTCCTCCAAAATGGTGTTTTTCCAAGCCTCAGAAAGATCAAGTTTAGATTCAGACACTATGTTCTCCTTACGCTGTAGATCACTCCCATTTCCCTTGGCCTGCTTTTCGGTTTTCAGCCCTTCTAGAGGTTCTTTCTCTATGCAGGAATCAGAGGTTGATTTCTTTTCTTTATGTGATACCAGCATGCTTTCTTTCTCTGCTTTTACTCCATTTGCTTTACTTTCCTCTCTGTTTCCTTGCTTCATTTGTTTCCAGGATGATGGTTCACAATTCTTGTCTATCACTTTGAAAGGATTTCTTTGCCCACTGGGATTGAAGAGAGGTACTGTGCTGGGGTGGGATTCTACGGCTTTTGACACTTTGGTAGCTTTTGGATCCTGCAATATACACAAGTGAGTAAACGCTAATGTACAAATGATTAAAGCCTGCTAACTATACGCACAACCTGATTGTCTTAAGCAAGACTTTATTCTCTACAAACATCTTCCTTCCTATCATGTTAAAAGGATCAGGATAAACACTTTACAAGGAAAACAAAACAAAAATGCTGGGTTTATGCTTTCTTTGCCATTCCCAAGTGTTTTGTGGGACCAAATCCCAACAGCATCATCCTCCAGAAAAGGGAGTAGCCAGAGACCAAACCCAAGGGTGGTTTTTTTTAAGACTGGAGAACACTTCACACAGTTGAGGAGTCAGAGAAGTCTCATCTGGAGCACAGCACGCTGATGCACTCTTCAGCTAGAAAATACAAACTCTTTCTCTATGAATTCTCAGAGGTGATTACAGTATACAGAATGAAAAGTCATGCTGGAATAAACTGATACTGTAATACAAATGAAACATTCATACCTGCCATGGGATGCTTCCACACCACTTCTTCCCATTCAGCTTACTTTTAAGGCATCTGTAGAACAACCTGCCAAGGAATAAAACAAGGTTTGAACTGCAGGAGCCAGTAAAGAACCGTAAGCGTTCTTTAAAAAATACTTTGCACCAAAAACATCACAGACAAATCCTCTTGATCTGCACTTAACATCCCGACTTCTCTATAGCAAAAGGCCATGAACACAAGCAAAAATCTTTTTACAAAAGCACTGTTCTCTGGCTAAGGATTTTTAGGGGTTTGGGTTGTTTGGTTTTTAATTTCAGCAATAAAAAAAACCCAACAGCTCAGGCAAAAATACTGTCAATGCTCAGAGCCTCAGAAGTGCTGTATGACTTCAAGGTGCAATGAAACAACTATTCTTTTAGTTACACTGCCCAGGCCACCTCATCTTTAAAGCACCTCAGGAACAGAAAAACTTTGGAATTTTAGGGGTTTTTTTAACTGTTGGTCAACCAGGACTGCTGCAAGAACTTTAGCAGAACTAAAATTGGTGAATTCAATGCAATCATCATGAGTCTTGGATGAACCCAACCACAGAACCATGTTCAATTCTGCTAAAAACAAACATATCTGATCACTTATATCACTGAATACAGTTGCTAAAAAACCAGCAAACATTTTGAAACATGCTAAGTGAAGGCCTCAAGGCTCAATTCTAGAAGGAAACTGCAAGTCAGCCCCCACCAAACAATTCCAAACTTCAAACCAGTACAACAAACCTTTGTTTCTACTCTGAGGAACTTACTGGTATTCATCTGTGTCCTGAACCTGAACCAGGACTTGCAGCTCCACCACGCACCCCTCATGGATCAAGCAGTGAGAAACAGGAATACTGAAAAGAGGAAAAAAGAAAGGAGAAATAATAAAAACAAGACAAGCAGCCCAGGCAACAGCAGCAGCAAAACCAGTTACTTGGGACAATATACTTGGGAAAGTCTTCTCAAAGACTATGTGACTAAGAAGATAAGTTTACGACGTTAGGAAGAAATTCTTTCCTGTGAGGGTGGTGAGACACTGGCACAGGTTGCCCAGAGAAGCTGTGGCTGCCCCATCCCTGGCAGTGTTCAAGGCCAGGTTGGACGGGGTCTTGAGCAATCCGGTCTAGTAGAAGGTGTCCCTGCCCGTAGCAAAGGGACGGCACTGGATGAACTTTAAGGTCCTTTCCAACCCAAACTGTTCTGTGATTCTACGACTGCTGTCGCAGCACTGAACTTCCCTCAGAACAGCGGTGTGCCGCCATGTGTGTCCCGTCCCGTCCCCCAGCGGCACAACAGGGGCCGATCCTCCTGCCCCCCACCCTGCACCTACGGCGCCGGGAGGACGAAACCGCAGGCCGCGGAGCCCTGCGCGCCGCACACGTAGAAGCTCTTCCCCTTGTTGGGGCCATCGCGGACGCCCGTCTTCAAGAAGCAGAGGGACCCTGCAG